ATCTGCTAACGTAACGATTACCTCCACTTATGTTCACCCCTATGGGAGCCTCTGCACGGGAGGAGGAGAGGAGCGACAGCACAGACAACTTGGCATACATACATAGATAGCATACCATTGCCTTATATACCCATTAGCATTGGATTGGATGGCTACGAAATATATCGTCACATGAATACCAGAGCGCAAAGGCGAAGAAAAACAGAAGAAAACAAGAAAAAAATAATTCGTTTTTTAATCTTCTTCCTTACAACTCACAACTCCCCCTGTTCAGAACCTCTTGCGTACAAGGCCCGCCCACGTGGATATATACGTATATAATATATATATATATATAGTCATAGATATATATAGAACTGCCTGGTGAATAGCAGGCAGAGAGAGTGAAGAGGACCTCAAGGGAAGGCTTGTGACAGACTGTATATAACACATATATACATATCGCCAAAGAGGACTGCCCGGTGAAGCGTAGGCAGAGAGGGAGAAGACGACAACAAACGAGGGGCTGTGACTGACTGTTTCGTTTCACCGACTCACTCATCAGGAGGCGGCTCAACCCTCTATACACATAGCAGAGGATGCGGCATGCATGGCCGATGGCCGATGCTAAGCCGGTTTTACGAGTTTCCCACCGTTTCACGAGTTTCTCACGTGGTTCCATGAGAGTTTCCCTTCGCCCCGAACGCGTTCAAAACTCGTTCCGAGCTCGTCCTCTCGGTCTGCATGGTTGGAGAGTGGACAACCGACATTGCGCCCCGCGCACCAGAGTGGGCGTCTTCCCCCGAACACAACGCACCCTCATTTTGCCTGTACCAGACCGGAAAAATACATTGTATTCGTTCATTATCAGGGTGCGTTATGTTCGGGGGAAGGCAGTAGTGAGGGAGATCAGCCGCCCGACCGGCGGACACGGCCGCCGCTCGACCCGTCGATCGGTCGGTTCGGTCGGCAGACCCGGCCTCCTACGTAGCCCGACCGCACGGCGGGCAACCATCATGATCTGGCGAGCTCTACCATTGGTTCAAACAGTACCCATTTACACGTGTTCGGCAAAAGGGTCGGAAAGGGAGATTTGATTTTTTTTCGTTTTCAAACCAATCCAACCAGCACACGAAGCCGAGGCGTTGATTTGGTCGACGGTCACCGAGGGACTAACCATGACCAACGGGAACCGCGAGCCCCGGACCACCACGTGGTAGGGACGCTGGCCTGGAGACTGGGAGCGGGTGAACATGCGCACCACACAGCACATGCAGAAAAGCGACACAACATCATCATCATCATCATCATCATCATTTAAAGTTCCAATCATTTCTGTTTCACATTACGTGGCAGTCGCCCCCAACTCCATCGAGGAACACGATCCCTCCCGCGTACCGAGGAACAAGTCCCGCGTCCCGCGCAAGGAGCCTTGTGAACCGCATGGTCGCTCGCGCAAGTATGTTCGCGTTTCCACAATCCCCTCCTCCTCGACCTCTTCCGGCGCGGCCGATCGCTGATGGATTAATTCGTTCCACGTGTCGGGCCAGCCAATTAGCCATGCATGCATGCATGCATGCTCAGTCAGTGTGTCCCTGTCCCAGCCTTCCATAGGCAAAGCAAGAGCAGTTACGGCACGCACGCACGCACGGAGTGTCCCTGCTACCATAGACAGGGAGACCAGCTACGGCCCGCACGAACAGTGGTACCATACCAGCCTCCTCACGGCGACGAACATGCGGAGGACATGCCAGTAGCCTCCTCTACACAGCGCGCACGGGAAAACTGCAGCGGATCAGACGAGCGAGCAACGCCACTGTCCAATTCACAGACAACACAGACAGAAAACCTTAAGCCAGCCAGCTACGCTCTTCCCCCGAACACAACGCACCCACCCTCAGAACGACCGTATCGTGCCGTAGAGAGCTCTTTATAGAGCTTGTATACATTCACGATCGGGGTGCCTTGTGTTCGGGGAAGACAGTACGGCAGCCAGCCACCAGCTGATCGGCACACGCCTTACGATTTTTCGTTGTTGCCAACACCGCTTGCCAGCAACCCTGACACCAACAGTAGGTAGCAGCCAGACGCCTACTGCATGTATGCCGAGCGTGTTCTTCCCTTCTTCATTGCCGACAAGCACACGTAGCACAGAGGGCAGACGTGACCGAAAGCGCGACAAGCCGATTTCAACAAACCTGCTCTGCTCTCTGTGTGTTTTGAACTGTGTTCCCTTTTGCTCTGGGTAAAGAAGATACATGAGGATGACGAGGCAACCTCGTCCGGTGGGGGTCTCGACTCTCTCGTGTTCAGCGCCCCCATCCATCCAACCATCTATATACAAGCACAAGCCTCAGGAGGAGGACGATTAAAACCTCGTCATTGCTCACATTTCAGAGTTCCTTGGCGGCGATTACATTTTTGTTAATCATATCACAAACCTGCGAGCACCAATCGTGCGCACAAGAACCGGACTGGAATGTGCGGTTTCCGTTCAGACTGGAGGTGGGCGTGGACAAGAAGATAGTACTGTACATTGCCGCCGAAGAGCAGAGCACGCAGCGATGGCGGCTACAGCATCGTCACCCACGACTTCAGGAGGAACACACTCACGTTCTGCAGGCAGGCCTTTCCCCGAGCACAGCTAAAACGGGCCAAGGCAAGCTACTCTTTTCAGCGATGAACCTCACCACGCAGTTCCGTAGACCGTCAGAGCAACCCGCCTCCTCACTATATCGCTTCATACGGCACGTTCATAAGAGCAACCTGTCTATTCATAGAAATTCCGACATACGAATTGTACTGCGCACATCCCATTTCTGTACTTCCTCCGTTTGCTTGTTCGCCCCATCAGAAGAAATGCGAAGAAAATCTGTTTTCCTGACGAACACCATCTCTCTCTCTCTCTCTCTCTCTCTCTCTCTCTCTCTCTCTCTCTCTCTCTCTCTCTCACACACACACACACACACACACACACACACACACACACACCTTCTGAATCTTCTGATTATGACTCACCCTACCTACTCCCTCTACGGCTCGTCACAGACGTGGAACACAAGGTCGCCAGTTTCCAGCTTTATCATCGGACGGTGCAGGCGCGTTGTCAATTGGAAAGCGGACACGCGCGCCTTTTGCTCATCATAGACCTTGCCGATCGCAGTCCCGTTGTGAATTGACAAGCGCACGCGAGCGCGAGCGCGAGCATCATTTGCGCATTCCTTGCCGCTCGTCCTCTCCCTCCACGTCACGTCCCATCTCCATCTCGGCTGTAGAGTGCAAGGTCGACAAAATCAAGGAGTTCAACCATCCGGAGAATGGCGTCGTCGTGTTGCGGGTTGGAAAACGGAGCTGCTTATTTACAGGATTTCGGCAGACTCCTCCTCATTGCTCTCACTATCTGTTCGTACATAATCAGAACAGATAGTAATTAGATCTCGTACTTGTACTTGTACTTGCGTGTAATTAGAAACAGAACATCTACATAATCAATACAGCAAATTGGGATATAGTAAAGACAATCTACGAGTCCACAGGCTGTCTTCGATTGGATCAAGCTCTCCTCCTCCTCGAGCGTCTCCTGGGATCCGTCGCGCCACACCTGCACTTGTCATCCATATATATATATATATATTGTATATATCGTCACATATATATATACATATTGTATATATATATGACATCGTGTGGTTCGACGCAAGATCATGTGCGCACCTATTGAACACGCTGCGCGGCTCGTCGTAAGTAGTTTGTGATCGCCAATCTCAACGCCCGCCCTCCCTCCGACGAGAACCTCTTCACAGTGGTTGCACATCAACGTTCGACGTAGTCCCTCACCTTTGACCCATCCATTCCTCCTGCACACACTGCGGCATCATCGCGCACGCTAAGATTCTCCCGGGCGACGAGGATGAATCTCCGGAAACGAGGCCGGCGAACACACTGTGCATATGTAATGTATATGAAACCTTCTACAGGTCGATCACCTGATCCGGAGCTCGTCGAGATGAGTACCACCAACCCACCCAACCAATCACGCAGCCCCGCTTCAATCGATCAATCGAGATTAGTAATGAACTCGATCAATAACCAAACAGTCAATCAACAAATCAAGATCGAACAGACCAATCAAAACTCATCACCAAATCTCCCTCCTCCCAGCTGCTCCCGTCTTTCTACCTCACATACACAGAACGCCATCTGTTCATCCCTTCTCTGTCTGCTTTGCGTGCTTCGCCGCGGCCGCCTGCCACTCTGTCCGTGTTCCCCTCGTCCTTTACGCTTAAGGATCCAACAATGTCCGTACACCTCCTCCTTTCCAAAAATGTACGTACACCTTGTCCTTTCCCAAAAATGTACGTACACCTCTGCTGCACGTCGCCGGCTCGACGAAATCGCGAAACACACTGTAGTAAAAGTAGAAAGAGGAGGACTAACGGGCTAACGAGCCGCAAAGATAATTGAAAAACACGCAGAAGGGAGGGTGGCCATGAGCGAGAATGCACTTGCAATAAGCAAAAAAGACGGGGTAGGTAGTAATCCAAATAAAAAATAAAGGGAACACGTAGAGAGTTGAGTTCACAATTAACGTCTTATAACATCATTATTACTAGTTTAGAGGACATTACCTGCCAATCTCGACGCTTTTTGAAACCCGCCGGCGGCGGCGGCGGCGGCGGCGGCGGACGATGCGGATCCCAATCTTGGCGTGTCCCCCGTCTGAATCGCGGCCGACTTCTCCATCGCCTGGTAAGGCGACAAGGACACCACGTCAGCGGTCGTTCGAGCGTCCAACGTCTGTACCTCGAGACGATTGACATCCCGGTCGCCGACCGCCGCCTCCTTCTCCTCCCTCTCAGAATCCGTACAGACATCACCACCGGTGGCCTCTTTCATCAACCCGTTCCCTCCTGGCTTTCGCTTCTCCTCAGTTCTAGCCGGCACTCCTCCCTCCCCCGCCGGTGTGTCGGTATCCACCATACGCTCTTCCTGCTGAAAGCCGCTGCCACATATTCCCCGACTTGCCCTCCGTTTCTCCCTCCCTTTCTCGCGACCGCTTGACCGCTCTCGACCCTCACCGTCATCATCACGATCCTTTTCCCCGTCTCCCCCTCCTCTATCCATCTCTCCCCCCCCTCGTACTCCAGCTTTTGCTCCTGCTCCTGCTCCTGCTCCTGCTGCTGCTGCTGCTGCTGCTGCTGCTGCTGCTCTTACGCGCCCGCTCCTAATTACAACGTCATCCATGCCGCCACTAACGTTTTCCCGACCACCCGCGCTAACAGAAACGGACCGCATCGTTGCTTCTCCGATACGCGGGGTTTTGCCAGTCTTCTTCGCCGCGGCTGTCGCAGGCGCCAGCGCCGCCGCCGCCGCCGCCGCCGCCGCTTCCGCAGCTTTTAACGGGGCCTTGCTATGCGACCCCTTTTCGCGGCTTTCCTGCGGCTCTGGGCCCAGACTCTCCGCGCCGGCAGTGTCATTCAGCGCTGCCAACTCTCTCTCCGCGTCCATCAATCCATTTCTCGTAAGTGCATTCACAACCTCATCATGCGAAGCAGCATCCACCATCATCTTCCCTCCCTCCTCTCCTTCACCCCCTCCTCCTCCTCCTCCATCTCCATCTCCATCCCCCCTTCCTCCTGCGCCTTCGTCTTCTGCTGAGCCAGCCGCACACCCGATACCCTGCGAAGCCGCCAGAGTCGCCGACTGTTCTTCTTCCTCCCCCTCCGCCGCCTTCGCGCACACCTGCCCTTCCGCCTCGCTGCCTGCGATTCCGCCGATCATCACTGCACCCCCCTCGGCAACACAAGCACCTCCCGCGGCCATCGCCGCAGCCTCATCGTCCTCATCAATAGTCTCGTCCCGCTCGGCTCCGACAGGCGCGCCGCGACGTCGCCCATCCTTTTCCCCGCTTCCCGTCTCACCCCCCTTGTTATCTTCCGCAATCCCCGCCTCATTCCCCGGCATGCTATCGACCAAACCACATGGATGCTCGGCCAGACATCCGTATTTCTTGCTTACTGGCCCGATCGAGCCCCCCCCTGGCAGGGACGAAGTCCGGCCAGACACTTGGGGATTAGACGCCTCCACTTTTGAACCTGCATTCTCCTCCTTACCTCTGAACTCGGCACCAAACGCGTTCGCCCCCTCTCCCCCCGTCCACGCTACCGACAGTAGTGCTGCATCACGGGCATTTCTTTTCTCAGTGCAAGCATTCTTGCTGCCGTTCTTCTTGGCAGTCCGCTGTTTCAAGCCAGCACCAGCAGCTGCGTTGCCCCCTTTCCGCTTCGCTGCTTCGTCCAAGCCCTCTCCTCGTCCCAGAGCTTTTCCGCCACGCTCCCCTTCCGACACCTCCTTCCCGATTCTTCCGCCGCCTCCTTTTCCGCCAAATCCTCTGCCTACTTTTCCTCCTCCTGCCCCTCCCTCTCCCCCTCTTCCGCCGCCTCCTCCCCCCCCTTCTCTCTTTTCCTCGCTCACATTAACAATCTCGGCAGCAGCCGCGCCACCGCTACCCGGTGCCCCCACCTTCGCTTTAGCTTTCCTTAACACGGGCTTCTTGATGCTCATCGCCCGCAGCGGAACGTCCGCCTTGGCGGACGACTTCCTTCTTTCTTGCTCCCCCCGCGCGCCCGAGGTTTTGTCCATGTTCGAAGCGGCGCAGTGTTTCATCCTATAAGTTTCGCATGCCACTTCTCCGCGCGCGCGCGGGCGCTTACGCGCGAGTTCGCTTCTTGTCCGAAACTCCTGTCCGGGGAACGACGCTCGCTACGTCCCGCGCCATATACATTCCGCCAAAGCGCGCCGCCCCCCACTGCCACGGCCTCCAGCTCTTCCTTCGACCATCTGCACCACAAATCTCTGCCCTCACAGTGCCGAGCCTCCTCCCCGCGCTTCACTACCGCCGTTGCGCCAAAATTATTTTCTTTTCCACTCCAAATGCCACACCACCGGTAGTCGGCCTGTCTTTAAACGCGCGCCGCCTTCTCCTCCGTCCTCGGCGGCGGAAATGAAACCCTATTCGACGACCGCAAACTCTGTAAATTAAGATATCAGGAGCACTCACAGTTGCTCGTGCCCGTTCCTAGATAGATGGTGTTCCTTACGACCACACAGGCTGACTCAAATGAACGCCGTCGTTCACATCCAAAACTGGCAATTCGTATTATCATGAGAATGGCGTCGTCTTCATGTCCAACCATTCATATACATTACTCGCTTCAATAGGGTTTGACGATTCCCGCCTCTCGAGGATAAGCTCGTACAAAATCCCGCCAGAAACGTCGCCCGCTTCAAGCGGAGACTTCCCTCTCTCTCTCTCTCTCTCTCTCTCTCTCTCTCTCTCTCTCTCTCTCTCTCCCGTGTGCGACCGAGCGCGTGCGCGCGTGTGTCGGCCCCGCTTCAGACACGCACACACAGAGCCCTTTGAGAACGCGCTTCGTGGAGAGATTGCCTACTATCTCTATGCGAAGGCAGCATCGCCTCTTGATGGATTTCCACTTTCAAGGTCCGACTACTGGCATGGAACGCCAGGGAATGTTATGCGTCCGACGGATATCGTCGTGCAATCCCCTCGTTCGCGCCGCCGGCGCCACGCTGCTTCTTCACTCTTCCTGTCATGTTCTCTCCCGCAAACCCGTCCGGGCATCTTGACGATGCTGCCGAGCAAGTTCCCCCTCGACTGACGACCAATCAATCAACCATACCAAAACGATCCCCCACCTGCTTCCTATACCGACGATTCACCCGACCTTCCCAAAGTGAAACACTGCGCGTAATGCTCCAGAGGACCTGCTTGCTGCACACGGTCCCTCTTTCATCCTCCTCCCTTTGTCCCCCTCTCTCAAATGTCCCTGTCAAGCTTGTTTCGCTGCCTTCCCCATCTCCGCGCTTGCTTGTGTTGCCGATTGTCTCTTCAGCTCGTACGGCCGTCTCGTATCTGTGCCCCAGCTCGACTACAGTTTGCAAGGCCAAGCTGACTATAGCTGGCAGCACGCGAGAGAGACTATTTACTTATTAGCTGATAGAGGCGCGGCTAGAGGAAAAGACAGCCGACGGACAGGTAGAGACATGAATAGAGAGAGTCGCAAATAGGTAGGGACATGGACAATGAAAGAAGACCCCGCCGCACTCCCCTGCGTCCGCGTGTCACAGCGCAGCGCAGCGCAGCGCAGCGGCGCAGCGCAGCGCAGCGCAGCGCGGCGCGGCGCGGGGGTACCGCGTTTCCTGGAAAAAATTGGTCCAGCCAACTTGAAGTGCCTCACCTTTCAATAGAAGAAGAGATTCCTCTTTCCTTTCGGCGAAGGATGGTGGGTGATCAACGCTTCTCTTCATACGACAGACGCCGCAGTGGCCGAGATCAATTCCTTTAAAGAAACTCCCCAAATAACGCTCACGTGCGTGCAGTCCAGGAGAACGGCGCCAAAAGTGTGCTACTCCGCGCCGCGCCGCTTACTCCTGCCAGGGATTCTCAGTTCAACTCATCATGAGTTCATCACAGGCCCCGCCTGTATGCCCCGTCAGACGTCGAGAGCTGAAAAGGACAACTTTGCCCTCCGCTCTGCTCCGCTGCTGCTGCTTCCTTGTCGAAGCAGAAGTCCGCGCAGCCTCGCAGATGACTTAAACTCGGACACACACAAAGAATGGCAAACGCCACCTCTCTCTCTCTCTCTCTCTCTCTCTCTCTCTCTCTCTCTCTCTCTCTCTCTCTCT